GAAATAAGAAAAAGTAGTAGATATAGGGAAACAAGGCACTCTGGTGGTGCCCTGCATAAGGTATTTGACTGCTAATCAGAAGGCTGGTGGTTCAAACCCACCTGGTGCTCCATGGAAGGAAGATGGGGCAATCTACTTCTGTAAAGATTTACCACCTTGGAAGCCCAATGGGGGTCGCTATAAGTTGGAGCTGACTTAATGGCAGTAGGTTTGGTTTTTGGTTTATGGGGGAAATATATAACTAAATCCAATATCTGATTATTTATTTCAATTTAACAAATCTATTGTAGCACAGGGAAGAGAATCATGTAGAGCTGAATTACAGTCAATTTATTGTATGTGTTCTTGGGAAAAGAATATTTCAATTTAGCTGGAGTTTAATCTTATTTATTCTCCATTAATAAAGATAAGGATCTAAATTAGCAAGGGGTAGTAGGAATGGAGAGAAGATGAGAGATTTTTTATATATTCAGTCTATAAAATCAGTGAGAGTAAGGAACTTAAAGGATACAAAGTGAGGGTGAACAAGAAGTCAAAGACTGCATGGTTTCTGGCTTAGGTAGATGGTGATGCCATTAATTTGTATGGGGAATAATGGAAGAAGAGTAGGCTTGAAAGTTCAGTTTTGGACATAATGAGTCTGAAATGCCCATGATATGTGGAGTGGGTTTGGCTATTAGGCAATGTGAAATTTACATCTGGATCGCAGGAGAAAAAGCTGTGCTGATGAAACAGAATTCAGATTACACAGCACTGGGTGGAAGGTAAACCATAGGATTGGTCAAGATACCCAAAGAAAGAGTTTTAATGGGCACAATTACATTCAAATCCAAGTTTATCTGATCTCAAATTTTATTAACGCAACTTATATAATGCATACTGTGTCAAACTACATGGTTTATTCTCTTATCCATTTCACTAACTACACCACTTACTATCTGCCAGATACAATCATCAAATGGCCTCGCCCCTAACAAAACCCAGTGCCAGTGAGTCAATTCTGACTCATAATGAACTATAGGGTAAAGTAGAACTGCCCCCATAGAGTTTAACCCAAAAACCAAAGTCACTGCTATTGAGTCAGATCTGACTCATACCAACCCCTCCTTGGGTTTCCGATGCAGTATCAACACAGAAGTTGATTGCCCAACCTTCCTTCTGAGGAGTGGCTGGTGGGTTTGAACAGCCAGGCTTCTGGTTAGTATTCAAATGTCTTAGGCACTATGTCACCAGAGCTCCCCCCACCCAACAGTTTACAAAGCTGTAAATCTTTACAGAAGCAGACTGTCTCATGTTTCTCCCATGAACAGCTGGTAGGTTTGAACAACTGACCTTTTGGTTAGCAATCCTATGGTTTAACCACTGTACCATTATAGCTCCTTCTTATCCCAGACGGTCTTGCATCTCTCTCAGCCTCATCAACCCTTTCCAAACTGGGCTCATGCATTGTATTTCTTATATAAAATAGTTGTAAAAATTTAAAATAATAGTTTATTTGGCATTGTTTTTATTATTACTAGACATAAAAATAATTTCAAGTGTTCTTATAAAATTATACCTCATATTTAGTGATTACAGTTGATATATTTCCATGTAACTCAAGTTATTGGATCCTAACAAAAATGGTTTGAGACTAGGATAGATATCTATCTCCATTTAAAAAATAAGGATACTTAGACTGATTCATTCTGTGAGATAGGGATAAACTTGAAGGAACTCTATGTGTGTGTGTGATTTGTATTATATTATATTACATTACATTATATTATACCATTAGAACCAGGTTCAATTATCCTCACTTTTTACCATCTACTTTATATCGTGTATTCCACTGCGAGGGATTAGTGACTAACTCGGAGTCAGTGAATAATAGTGAATGAATCATGGATGGTCCACAACCAAATCAAAGTGATCGACAGATCAACCATTTTACTTTCTTGTCATTTTACCTTTCTCTTCAATGAAATTATGAATATGAACCAATAATGTTTTAGCAATAAAATTGAACTTTATACCGTTGGCCCCTTAGCTTCCCTTTATACCAATTCAACACATTCTTATTGAGGACACACCTGGCACTGAATACTTTAGGCCAGCCAGTGTGCTAAGAACATAAAACACCAAGTAAAATAAAACAGTGTCTGCTCTCCAGATGCTTATGGTGTACAGGGAAAGACATTTGCTAATCATAATTCAATGTACAAAGGCTGAAAATAAGTGGATTGACAATGTGCTATGAGAGCTGAGGGGAGGGAGCAGATAAGTCCAAAACTTAGCAGGTTGATGACATCTGATGTGAGGCTCAATGTGTGAGTGATTTCTCAGGTAAAGAGGGAAAAGGCCTTTTCAGTAGAAGAAATGGTTAAAAACTACAAATTACAAAGTTATCTGAAATGTTGTTGGATAGCATTCTAGTTAACATTCAGTTTAGCTGAAGTTTTAAGTGTATGCGAATATGTGTATTTGTTGTTGTGTTGGGAGGGGTGGGTTGGGTAGAACAGATGAAGATGGAAAACTAGAAAGCGTAGAAATATTTTGTGTAGGAAGAAAAGAAGCTTCTTCCACATCCTTTTTTTTCCCCCTTCTCCAAGCACCTGAAATTAAGAACAGTCACTATGTTTCTATAAAGACTATTCCAGTTAAAATGTATGAGGATGATAAATACATTCAGTCCAGTTGTGTGACTGCCCAAATGGTTTCTGTTGTTGTTATGTGCCATCAAGTCAGATCCTTGGAATCACTATGGAAGTAGATTGCCCAACCTTCCTTCTAAGGAGTGGCTGGTGGGTTTGAACCGCCAGCTTTCTGGTTAGCAGTCAAGTGCCTTAAGCACTCTGCTATCAGAGCTCCCAAATTGTTTCTTGTTGTTGTTGTGTGCCATGGAGTTGGACCCAACTCTTAGCGACTCCTCCTTGGGTTTCCAAGGTGGTATCACTACAGAAATTGTTTCTAGTATTGGATAATCGATGAACTAGCCCTTTATCCCAGCATGCTTCACTCCCTACACATCCAGGATGAAACCTATAGCCTGAAGGCTTGGAAAAACTGCTCACCTGAGGAATGTGGACCTACAAGCATGAAACCTGGTCTCTTTTTTTCACCCAATGTAAACAGGAAGCAAGCAATTGTTATACAAGGAAAACTGAGACTCCAGGCAGTGAACTGCTGGCAGTCAGCCTCTGAAGCAATCCAGGGGCCCAGGCACTCAGCTGGTAAATAATTGCTGTAAAGTCAAAAAGAAACACCCCAACTCCTCCCACATACACACTGCAGTACTATACCCTAACCAACACACAGCCCCTATGTAACCGGAGTTGTTATAACTTGACCCTCTGTTTTTAAGACTGGAATAAAGGAAGAAGCCAGTTGTGAGTGCATAAAAGCTTTTAGAGAAAAGTATGTTGTTGGTGGCATTCATATCAAATGACATTGCGTTCCTGTCACACAGATCGAGTTCAGGTGTTTAAAATGTTTAAGAGCCAACTTGGAGACTTGGCCTTTTGTCTGCCTCTCCTTCAATGCATTGCTTGTTTCTCAATCTTCCTGACCCCCTCCTTCCTTTATAGGACTCCTAAAAAAGACAGAAATGGAGTGCATCTGACGCTAATGAAGTGCCAAGTTCATAAAGTATGAAATAGTGTCAACAATTTTTTTTTTTCTGGCACTTAGATTCTGAGACCATAGAGACCTCTCATGAAATGAAGCTTATAATCAGACTGAGGAGATATTCGATAATTCAATTTGACAAACATTTACTGATCTGTGAAAGGCATCCTGATAATCCAAAGATAGAATTGGTGATGAAAATGTTGAGACTATTGCATTTTGACCTTTAGGAGATTATGTTTTGATTATAAAAATGATGATGTTGTCTATGGTAAAAACTGTTAGTATGGATTATTTGCAATAGGCTTCTTTTGTGCCTTTTGCAGTAACTTTCACTTATATTTCCACCCAAATCTCATTTCATTTTCCCAAACCTTCCCATAATATGAGCACACACACACACACACACACACACAGAGAGTTCATGCACAAACCTTTTGTTTCATTTAATCTTTATACCCAGTGTATGAGTTTTATGTTATTGATAGCCTTATTTTATGGAAAAGGAATGTTAAGTTCAAAGAGATTGGATAACTTGCCCAACTATCTGGGAGTGTCATAGTTGCAGCTTCAAACCAAGTCTAACTCACTGAAAACACAGTAAAATATTATTTAGAAAAAGTGTGTTTGATTCTAATACTCACACTATATCATTCTATATTTCTGTTAGTTCAGTGGTTCTCATAGGAGGCAATTTTGCCCATAGAAAAATGGCAATGCCCAGCCATCCCATTACTAGGTATATACCCTAAAGAAGTGATAGCCATAACAAGAACAGATATATGCACGCCGATGTTCATCACAGCACTATTTACAATAGCCAAAACTTGGAAACAACCTAGATGTCCAACAACTGAGGAATGGATAACCAAACTTTGGTACATTCACACAATGGAATACTA